TAAAAATTTCTTTTCCCAGTGCGGGTAGAAAATAAAAATCGTTTGTAGTTTTTTCTCGAAATATTTATTATTCATTGGATTATTATTTTTCCACGGAAATTCAATCAGGTCTCACTCGGAGGAGTCGGTTATTAATATTGTTTATTACCGTTGGGAGGGGGTGGCCAGCAGATTGATCAGATCATGAGGGAATAATGGTGGTATGACGGCAGAAGGGCGGCGAGGGGACGGCAAGGGGATGGCGAAGGGGAGGCAAGGGGGATGGTGGAGGTGAGGAGAAAATATAGTCAGGAAGTTATGATGGCGAAAGGGAGGCGAGTTGGCGCCACCCAACGTATAAACGACACACGTACCAGACTACTGGCACAGTACTGGCGACGTCACGCGAACTAAATTACCCGCGACCAAAACCGTGATACAACGGTACATCTCCCACCTTTTCACTTACACCAATTTTTATCTTGTAAAAATAAAATCACGAGAATACGTAATGAGAAACCACAACTCCAACCATCTCCAACGAATATCTCAGGATTTCAATGAATCAGGTATCGTTCTGCCTGAAAAATATTCTCAGGGGTAGATATTATAATTCGCTGATCTTGACTGATTGGTAAAAGTATTCGTTGAAGATTCGAGATAGTCGGGTGAAATTGAAATTTCGAGAACGTTCTCCATTGAAATTTCATTCAAATCAAATTCTGATCATTGGAAATTTAGATGACATTGAGGCTGAAGTCTTTTTAAATGAATTCAAATGAACATTTTCTTAAATTATAGTTTACATAAAATGATAAAATTAAAGTTTCATCTACCATTTATTTTTTTAGAACAATAAAAAAAAATAGATATATATGATTTAAATTCAAAAAAACAAAATTAATTTTTTTTATTCATTAATTATGGTTTACAATAACGAGATAAATTCCTCCCAGCAATAATCGAGTGGATTTACCTCCGAAAAAATGTCTCCCCATTCCCCAGGTATTTATCTCCATGTCTGGACGTTTGATGGTGATCCAGTCCCCGAAGAAGACACTCGAGTCTGAATGGTAACGATAACTGCGTCGCGATTAAACGACTGGGGATATCGTTCACCCAATGAGAAGACAGACGAAGAGAGAAAGATCCCTGGGATATGGTATCGTCGGTACAGCCATTATTCTTTGCCTGGAAGGCACGCGAAAACCGTTTTCTCATTTCTTTCCTCAAGTGCACACACTAGGTAACTCCCACCCCCTCTCAGCTGGACCCAGCGATTTCTCGTTTCTCCAGTTTCTTTTATTATTTTCTTGAATATTTTTTTCCCCCTCCCCCATTTCTTTTTTTTTTTCCTCTCAAACACAAGACCGTGCTCAGGGAAAACTCACGTAGAGAAATCTCAATGTAGTCGGCGACTGGAAAAAGAATGAAAAGTAAATGATGGAGGGGAGGAAATAATTGATGAGACTTCGTATGGCTGCACAAATCGAGATGGGGTGGGTGGAAAAATGTGCGTGATCCAAACGGTATTGGAGGCTTGTGGTGGATGCATTCCCAGGATGGGGATCGGTATGAAACAGCCAACATTCGACGTCGGGGAATCCTCTGTTGTCCATGATGCTTGGTCAGGTGCCATGCCAGTCTCATAGTCCCTTCATCCATGAATGCTCTATCCACCCTAAACCTACCACCCCCTCGCATCCCTCATCCCTCCACCCACCACTCCAATCCCAGAAATAATCCAAATATTGCTCAGGAATTATCTCTATGCTATAATTAATTTTAATTATCAATAATTTAAATGAAACATTTTGATTGTGTTAATGAAATTTAATTTTTATGTGAAATATTCAAATGAATTCAATTTTTTATATAAAAATGAGATTTCGGTAATTAAATTCAATCTATTACTTTTTAAATGAAACTTTAATTTTTGTTTATATTATTAATTGTTTTAAATTTGACGTCTAGATTTTTTAAAGAGCTCATGTGTCGTATATATGTATATATGAGGATATATAGATATTGACACATGGCCTTGGCGGTTTTATATAATAATTGAAAGAGAAAGTTTAAACAATTAGGGAGTGTGGGAGTATTTAATTAATGAACAAAAAATTGAATCTTGAATTAAATTAATAAAATGCACTCGGATGATATGAATATTAATATTGACATGAAAATTCAAGGGATAATTGATAATTTATGTCACTTTGTTTCTGAATATTCATGTACAGCTGAAAATTCAATGGACTTGTGGTATTCTCATCTGCCTCTCGGTGAAAACCTGATGGCTGTCTCGATTTCTTAAATTCTAATAACGATTTATTTCCTAAATTCGATTCAACGTCACTCTCCTGGGAATTTATCATATTTTCTGTCAGATTCATACTGAAATTAATTCAATCCCTAATGACTTATGCATTGATATTAATCCCAATATTTAATATAATCTAACAACAATGGAATTAATAAATTTCCCAGGGTACATCTCCCTGTCGAACCCCGGATGCTCGTCTTTCTTTCAAATGGAAGTTATCGTCTCAAAAAGGTGAAATTTTTCCACAAAAAAGTGAAAAACTTAGTCAAAGAACCGGAAAACAGTATAAGACGGAAGTGAAAACCCGGTGGAGAGGTGCGCGATGAAGAGGGCGAGAGATAAAAGAAAATAGATACAAAAAAAAAGAAATAAAGAAAGGGGCGCGGGGTAGAATGGGGTGGGACGGGTTTAAAAATAAGAATAAAAAGGATGGAGAAGAAGCGAAACGAAATACTAGATGAGACGAAGAAGTATTGATACTTTGGAAGTGACGTAGTGATTTTTCGAACTCCTTGAAAAGCTCCTGGAATGGTGAATGGGTGGGTGGTATGGGGTTGGCTTTATAGCGGTTCTCTCCGTTGTGAGAATGAGACG